CCAGAGGAGCGGGCTCCGCCTGGCCGGCCCGGAGCCCCGGAGGCGGCCGAGCTGGAACTGGAGGAGGATGAGGAGGAGGGGGAGGAAGCGGAGCTGGACGGAGACCTGCTAGAGGAGGAGGAGGAGCTGGAGGAAGCAGAAGAGGAGGACCGGCCGTCGCTGCTGCTGCTGTCGCCGCCCGCTGCCACCTCCTCCCAGACCCAGCCGATCCCGGGCGGGTCCCTGGGGTCGGTGCTGCTGCCAGCCTCCAGTTTCGATGCCCGGGAAGCGGCGGCTGCGGCCGCGGCGGCAGGGGTGCTGTACGGAGGGGACGATGCCCAGGGCATGATGGCGGCGATGCTGTCCCACGCCTACGGCCCCGGGGCGGCGGCGGCTGCCCTGAACGGGGAGCAGGCGGCCCTTCTCCGGAGGAAGAGCGTTAACACCACCGAGTGCGTCCCTGTGCCCAGCTCCGAGCATGTCGCCGAGATTGTCGGTCGCCAGGGTGAGTGCGGGGAGAGGGGAGGTCCAACTGGGCATGGCCCTGGGCGTGGGTGGAGAGCCGAAAGAAACGAGGTTGGGGCTGAAAAAGCAAATCCGGCGAGACCCCCAGGTCCACCGCGAAGGGGTCTGGGAAGATCCGAGGGTCGACGAGGTGAGAAGACGGGTCACCTTGCGAAAGCCCACGCTGCTCCGCTCGCCTTGCCTGATAAAAGGTGTTAAGTTTCTCGGGTCACCCAGCCGGGTGGAGTTCACTTTACTTGGGCTGTATTCGTGGAACACCAGGTTGGCGTGTCAGTAGAAACCTCAGCGAGGTGGTAAATGTTCGGGTCAGAGAAGTTACGGATTCGGTGTTGTGTACGGAAAGCTTAGTTTGCGCGGCGGAGTGTCTTATACAAGCGCTCTGCTTCCTTTACAACTACTTATTCAGATGGAGAAATGGAGGCTTATAGAAAGAGCTCATTCGAGAGGAAAGGGGTGTGCAAATGATCGGAATCACCCACCACCATCCCCCCGCCCCTCAGCTATTCAGAAACTTAGCTTTATGAAAAGCACCTTAACTCTGTTGATCTTATTGTATTCCTCTCGATACATTTTCTCTCGAAAAGGCACATTGGCTGTTTTTTTGAACACTTTGTTGTGCACGAGGAAGAAAAGCTGGACAGTAAGATAATTAAGGAACTTTACGCTTTTATACAGTTTTCAGTAATTTACTCTTCTTGCCCGCACACCAGTACTGGAGACAGACTCCTCCTACATTGTTCAGACAAAGGACCTATGTCTCAGATTCCAGGAGAAGATTTGTGAAGGTGGGGGAAGGGGATGTCCAAAGTACCTCTTTTTCCGACGTTTTTAGGAAAGAGTCTAAGGTCTTTAATGTGGCCTTTTCCTTTCTTGAAAGGATAACTGTTACCTGCTGGCACCTCATTACAATATGGTTTAGCCTGGTTGATGCTTATCTCTTCAATGTTTAGGTTGAGACCAGTGGTTGGAGTCAAATAAAGAGATGAGGGCGCTGCTGCTTAAATGATCTCATCCTTCCCAAGTGCTCTGAAGTACACATGAATGAGAGGTCTTTTGAAATTGTGGTTTCACATAACACAGTTGACTTATTTCTTACTGGCAGTTTTTTAATAAGAAAAACTTTTCTGAAAATTAGATTAGAAGCAAGCGATTATTTCAGATTGTCTGATGATTGGCACTTTAAAGACAGTGTTCAAAGCTGGAATCATTCAATTGAAAGGGAGTTTATTCTGATAGTTCTTCTGGTAAATGAGTTTCAAATACCTTGTTTGATTTTGACAATACTGAGGGTAATAATCTACAGGAGAAAACTGTTTAACCTAAACAGTATAAAATTAGAACATCTTAGTTTGTAGCTCTAGAATGAGTTGGCCATTTGTATGAAAACATAAAGGGATTGTTAAGTATCATACTTTTTCCAGGTATTTAGTTTATTGTACTGAGTTGAGAAAACAAAGTTGATTTAAACTTTCTACCCCTTAAAAGCTAAGTCAAGTAAATAGTGGAATGGCCCTAACTCTAGTGTGACAAACAAAACGTTACAACTATGAGAACATATGCTCAGGGGGCCTTGGCAAATGGAGAGGAGCATAGAGATGGGAGAAAGTCTGAGTAACAACAAGAGTAATGGTACGATCTAGGGCCAGATGAAGAGCTGGGAATGCAGGTATGCAGCCTAGAAATACAAAGACTCCTTGAACACTATGGGAATGCTGCTTCCTTGGCACAAGTTGGTTCAGTGTGCTTAGGATGACAATCCAGGGTAACAAAGGAAAAGAGATTTACACTCCAGTTTTACTAAGGGACAAAATAAAATACTTTGTAGATTTAGTTTTTAAAAACTCTTGTCCTCCACTATATCATACCCATTAAAACACTTGTAGTGTTTAATTGTGTAAACTATTGGCTTTACATAAATCCATTATGTAAAAGTAAGTCCAGATTTTTATTTTGTACCATCTATTACATGATAGCAAATGAGTTAAAAGGGGGAGGGCTGTGCTTATTAATTAATAAGGAAACATAAATCTGTCTTAGAGGTTGGAGACAAATTGCTGACTATTCCTTTTGCACTTAATATTTTCCCAGAGTTGACAGTACTGTTGAAAGTATGTCAGTATCCTCTATCTTATCTTAAAAGCTGAAAGTCTTGCTCTTTTTCTATTTTAAACCATTCAACTAGTGGATCATTGACCCTGTTGCCACCCCCCCAGCTCCAGCATAGTAATAAAACCTGTAATGTATTTGCTCCTTTGGAGAACTAAGTGACTTCCAGTGTTCACATTTACAGAGTGATAATTTCCCCATGGGAGAGGACCTGCCCTAAGTGAGTAAAGCAGGGCAAATCACTTCATTTTCTTGTTTGCTTTGGAAGAGCTAAATTTTCATCCTTAAGAATTACCCATTTCTGTCATTTTATTCATTACCTGAAGTCATAATTTTCTGCTTGACATCTCCTAATTGGTTTTAGAAATAATTATGTCACAGATGGAGACATTTATGACTTCAGCTCTGAAGCAAAGAGCAGGACAAATGGAATTCTGAGTCATATAGACTAGCAACTTGTATATAGATGGCCTCTGGTTCCATTGTCTTTCAAAAAAAAAAAAAAACCACTGGAGTTTTCTTGTTTTATATGACTCCTGTGCACATGTGTGTAATAAATCTGTTGTGCTTATTTAAAAAGAGGGGGCCAAAAGAACATTTAAAAAAAAAAAAAAGCCACTGCTTATGATAGTGGTGGAAATGGACAGAGTGTTTGACCTTACTTATACTCCCTAGTTGCCTATGCTCATTTGTAGATGTTGACTTTATTTTGTTTTGTTTTTTCAACTTTGCATTTATTGTGAAACCAACAATACTATAAAATAAAGTCAGGAACTAGAGAAGCTTGTTGCTGTAATTAATGAAAGAAGTTTTAGAATACGGATATCAGAAATAAATCTGGCAGATTTTTTTTAACACCAAATTTTGTAAACTTAGAAACATCTTTTTAAGTGTGTTAAGAAGCTGCAGAACACATTAACAGAAGTTAACAGGTCCAAGTTAAGTCAAAGGGGTTTTTTTTCCCATTTTTACAGTTATTACCCATTTATACTAAAAGTAAATTAAAGCAGAATTCTATATCCATCCTTAACTATATTATAAATATTAAATATCACAAATTTAGTTGGTAAAGACTTGTGACACTAGGATTTATATTACTGTCTAAGGTAAATGAGTATCTTATACTATTTTCATTATACTGTAGTTGATAATATATATGTGCTCTGCAGCCTCATAATCTAGAAAAGTGATCTCTAACTTTTTTGATTGTATACCCTGTCAAAAAATTTAAGCTTCTACTCCCAGAATCTGGATATTTGTGTATGAATATATATGCTTATACCCTGTACATTATAAAACATGTAAAATTTTAAAGGAATGATAGCCAGGCATTGTGGCAGATGCCTATAGTCCCAGCTCCGTTGGAGGCTGAGGCAAGAGGATCTCTTGAGCCCAAGAGTTTGAGGTTGCTGTGAGGTGTGACTCTATGGCACTCTACAAGGGCAACAAAGTGAGTTTTTTTTTTTTTTTAAAGGAATGAGATAAAAATGGAAACTGGAGCTCTAATTTTTTCTTTAGTGGATTGTTTTGCCTGTTCAAATTGTCCCTGAGCTAGACTAGCAGTCCCCACCTTTTTGGCACCAGCGACCAGTTTTCCGTGGTTGGAGTCAGGAGCGTGGTATTGGGGTGAGTCCAGCAGGTTTCATTTCATGCATCTCCACCTCAGATTAACAGGCATACCGAGTGCAATTTAGGTTCCTCGCATGCCCAATTTACTATAGGGTTCAGAGTTCCAGCTCATTTGTGACTCTCAAGCCCCTGATGTGACAGTAGGCAAAGATACAAGCAATGGAGAGTGAGTATGAATACAGATGAAGCTTTGCTTGTTTGCACTCTTGCAACCTGTTCTTAATAGGCCAAGGACCAGTAGCCATCAGCAGCCCCTAGGGTTGGAGACCACCGGGCTAGACCATTTTGGAGATTTTTTTCTTCCTTATCAAGCTATTATATTTTCACTCACCCCCAGTAGCAGTGTTGTCCCTTTTTTAACAATTAAATGTATCCTTGTGATAGTTTTTCCCAATTTCTTTTTTTTTTTTTTTTTTTTTTAAGAGACAAGAATCTCCTTCGTAGCACTCAGTAGAGTGCTGTGGATCACAGCTCACAGCAACCTCGAGCTCTTGGGCTTAGGCAATTCTCTTGCCTCAGCCTTCTGAGTAGCTGGGACTGCAGGCGCCAGCCCCAACGCCCGGCTATTTGTTGTTGTAGTGGTGGTTTTGGCCAGGGCCTGGTTCTAACCCCTCACCCCAATTTATGGGGCCTGCACCATACTCACAGAACCACCAGTGCCACCCAGTATTTCTTAAGGTGGGAACAACCCTTTAAACTTTCAATACAATTGAAATAAGGTATGTACTTGTGATCATGAGGAAAAAAGGCTTGGTCTTAGTATATATAAATTGCTTATTCAAGAAAAAGTACATACTTTATGTGGGAATAAGCAGTTTCAAAAAGGGGGGAGGGGCATTGTTGGCCTTCTTCTTTTTGCCAAGTACTATATTAGGTACTTTGCCAATGCCATTTAACCCTGCTAGGGTTAACCCTACATCTTAAAGATGTAGATACTGAAGTTCTGAAAGATAAAGTACAAGAATAATGGAACAAACATGGGTTTAGACCAGGAAAAATATGAAAAATAAAGTTCTTTCCACTTGACATTGCTGTCTCAGTATTGAGGCATTCTGCTCTTGTAAGTAATATTACTTTATGTTAAGCTCTGCCCTAATCATCTGAGTTGAGATACTGTATTTCTAGTGTTCTTAATATCATTACTATCCTAATTAGTTTACTTAATAAAATCTTGGTGGCCTACGCATAACCCAGAAGGCACAGTTACTACATTGTAATGCAATTCTAATGTGTTTAACTAAAAAT